AATTCTGTTGTAGGCAGAAATTAGTGACTTCCTTTTGTTGAAGTGATCATTCTGAGACAGGGTTTTAGGCACTCAGGATGATCTTGAACTCGTGATGGAGCTGAAGATGACCTTCAACTTTTGATCTTTCTGCTTCTATCCCCCAAATGCTGGTATTATAGTAAGCCACTGTGCCCAGGAATTTTGTTTGCTTGCAACATTTTGTTTTGTTCTTAAGTCTGATCATCTTTGTCCTTTCAATGGATAAAGTCAATTTCCATGGACTGTGCTCCAATTGTACTTGGGTTCACCTGTGCCAGGGGTTACTGGCATTAGGGGTCACTTGCATTAGGGATCATCTGAACTAGGGCTAACCCTCACTAGTAGTTATCTGTATTATACCTGCACTACGGGTGTAATACCCTGTGCTATGGGTCAGCCTATCAGTATTCTTTGGAAGCACAACCTCATGAAAGACAAGGAAAGATGGGAAACCACTGTGTACTCAAGAGCAAAGGAAACTTGCCAGCTAAAGACCTGTTCGAGCTGTGATGCTGAAACTGAGCATCATGTTACAAAGTAGTGTATCCTTGGGGGCTGAAGAAAAGGCTCAGCAGTTAACAGCACTTGTTGCTCTTGCAGAGGAGTTGTGTTCAATTCCCTGAACCTACATGGTAGCTCACAACCATCCTAACTTCAGCTCAAAGGGATCTAATATCTTCTAACATCTCCAGGCACCAGGCATGTATGTGGCATACATTCATATACATAGGCAAAACACATACATAAAATGAAAAATAAATAAATCTAAAAAATGTTTTAAATGAGAAAGCAGTGTATCCAAAAGAAGCCTGTAATTTGGTTAAATAGCTTTTAAGGTTATTCTTTAAGTTTTGGTATTGAAGTGATGGTTGGGCCAGATGTGAACATAACAGGATCTTAGGTGAACAACATGTGGAAACTCTTTGCCCAGCCATTGTGACTCAGAACCTAAAATTAATTCAAAGTCACAATGTTTAGAAAGAGACAAATGCCCTATGAGTTCATGTAGGTGCTGAGCAGATTAGTGAAATGCAGAAACAATTGTAATATCTCCAGCATGCTCCTGAGGCAAGAAATGGTGTGCAAGAGAAAAAGATAGAACCAAAACAGCTAAGAGAAATGAGAAGTTCTAAGTCAAGGTGGCTGTGGCATAATGGTGAGAGCTAACTCCACAGAATATATGCCTATGATGAGGGCTTTGCATGCTGGCTGAGAGACAGGATGGATCCGATGCACAGTAGATGGGGATACAGTTGCCACGACCTGTGTGAGTGGAGGCACATGAGCAATCCAGATGACCCAAGCTCATCTGAGCAACTAGCTGAGGACAGCGGCACCGTTCATTGGAGTGGAAATGGAATGACTTTAGAGGGGAGGAACAAGGAAAGTAGCCTGTTTGGGACAGGCTGGTGGTAAGATGGCTGAGGGACAATCAGGTGGAGAACCCTGGAAGACAGTTAAAGATGACTGTGGCAACTGCCAAGGAGAATACTGTTCTGGAGTGAGTGAGGGCCATTATGGTAGCATCAACTGAAACTGCCGGAATGCGTGGAAGTGCTCAGGAAGAGGGAGGAAGAAGAGCCAAGATGGACGATGAGTCTCTACTTCCTGACTGTTATACACTTGATTAGCTGCCTCTTCTCCTGCCTCCATATCTTCCCTGCCACGGGTTACGTCCCCTCTAACTGTGAGCCGGTACAAACTCTTCTTCCTTCAAGCCCTTTCTCGTGAGCTATTTAGTTGCAGTAATCAGAAAAGTAACCATTACACCAAGAAACCCCAACCATGACTGGAAGAGGCAGAAGCGGAGAAGACAGCAGCGGGTGTCAGCGGCAGGAAAGAGCCACCCAGAGAGCATGAAGACACGGAGCCATGTGATGGGGGAAGGAACACAAAGTTCAGTCAAACGCCAGAAGATGAGTCTGAATCCATATTGACGATCTCAGCAGGGAAATTTGATGGGGAGGTGGCTGCTGCACTGTGGGGTTCGAGGGAGTGGCTGCACTGGTAGCAGATGCAGGGGAAGAAGGAAGGCAGAAGTCTAGCTAGATGGGAGCTTAAGGTCACAGGAGTCATTCAAACCTGTCTCTAAACTGGTCTGTCCTGGTGCTTTGTCATACATTATGCTGCACACTGGTTCTCCTCACCTGGACATCCTGCCTATAGGTTTGGAGTCCGTGTGCCCAGCCTCACACCTGCAAAGGGCTCAACTGAAGTTCACACAAGGAACATGGTTTCTGTTGTGATTCACATTTGTGACATGAAGATGGACATCTCAAACCATTTGACCTATTAACTCATACACAAGGCTTGATCTGGAGCTACACAGATGCGATGTCAGGTTCTTTTGTAACTCTTCCCTGGGGGCAAGATGACTCCATGGCTAAGTTCCATCCTTGCTCCAAGAGCCTAGCATAGGGCATTTCAAGGCATCTTCTAAGCCTGACTAGAAATCTTGCTGGAGGGGCCAACAGCTGCAGCCACAGGGGACATGCTCAGTGAGGATCACATCTTCTCCATGATTACACGTGCCAAAGCCTTTTATTTTGTATTCAGCTAGCATTTACAACCTTTAAATATTAATACTCATTAATATTAATGTTTGAACACCAAATCAGTTTAGCTTCCAAGAAATTACTAGATTTTATATTAGCCATTCATTCATTTATCTAATATACATTGATTAAGTGCTAGGTGATGTTTGAGGCAGCTGGACAGAGCTGGAGAAACCTGGAAAAATAAATAAGACCTACTCTACTTGATTTTAAGAGTGCCACATGTGTTAACATGCACAGCTACAACCAACACATAAGATAAGGCATGTAGAAACACTTATATGTGTATGTGAGTGTATATAGGCACATACAAGCTAAATATCCCTTACCCCAAATTTTTGGGACAAGAAATATTTCAGTTTATATATTTCTTCTTCAAATTTTGGGATACTGCCATGTACATAATAGGACATCTTAGGGATGAGACTTCAGTCTTAAACACAAAATTCTTTAATGGCTCATATACATTTATAGTATGGATACAAACCCTAAAGGTATTTGTTATTGTAGATAGTATTGCTACGTAGCCCTGACTAGACATAAACTCATTATGCAGCTGAGGCTAGCCTCAAATTTACAAGACTCCTTCTGCTTGAGCTTCCTTAAGTGGTAGCATTATTGGTATATGCTACCGTGTTGAAGCTGAAGGTAGTTTTACACAACAGTTCTTGTGTACCAGCTTTGACTACAACTCATCATGTACACCATGTGTGGAATTTTCCAGCTGTGTCAGCACTCAACAGACTTTTAGAGTTGGGCATATTTTGGATTACATAAATTTGAACACACACAATTTTCCATTTAGCACATGGGGTGGGAGATGAGCACAGATGAACCCATAGCCCTGTCTTTTACACGTGACCATAATGTATAGGGTATAAAAGGGAGATACCTGAGTCCAGAAGGATGGGCAATAATGGTATGTCTGGGTAGAGGGTGGAGGAAGAAGGGCCTTACCGGTAGATGCAAGAATGAAGTATTGGGCTGAACACACGGCACATGAAACAATGTACTGTGGTAGATATAAAAATAGGAAAACCAATGGTGAGGACAGTTACTTACTTCACCTGTCATGCCCTGTCGTGTGAGCCGTGTGTATGGGTGTCTGGAGCTAAGGCTGCAGACAGTTGTTGGGGGTGGGGAGATGATCTGAAAACCCTGTTGGCTGTGTTAAGTAGTCTGCACGGTGAGCTGCAGGAAAGGACGCCTGGGGGTTCTAAATCAGAGTGGACAGGACTTGTGATTTAACTAGGTGTCCCAGCTAGCAGATGATAGACCGGAAGAGGTGGGATGGGAAGAACAGATGTGAGCTCAGAAGTTTTTCAATAGCTCAGACAAGTGCGAAGGAGGAAAGTGAAAGCAGCAAATCAGATGGCAACATTGTACATGGGGGTGACTGGCAAGGAGAGGGCTACTTCTCTAGAAGGGTATACTGGGTCCAAAGAACACTCAGGCAGAGGTGTCTAAAGGCAGCCAGACATTGGAATTAGAATCTTGGGCCACTATGCAACCAAGAGACAAGGAGGATGAGAAAGAGAAACCTATTTCATCTATCCCCTACAAAGATCATACCAGAATTCTCTTCCTTCCCCTCAGCCTTAGATTTCCATATGAACAGTTGGGAAGGCACATTGGAACAGTGCACATGTGTGTGTGAGAGCACATACTTACACTTAGTAGCACTCAGCTCAGAGGGACACAGGAACAATGGTCCATAGATCACAAGTTCATATATGCATGTCCAAAAACAATAGACATCTCTCTCTCTCTCTCTCTCTCTCTCTCTCTCTCGATGAAAGGAACACATACAGGCCTATAGACCATAGAGGGATCACATACAGTTCCATAGACACACTAAGGCACACATACATTTACATGTCCTTAGGTCACAGAACACAAACATTCATATGTGTCTGTAGACAATAGGAGGCACATACATGAACACTCCCACAGATCAAACAGGAGTGCAGACAAGCACATAAACCACAAAGGGTCACACACATTTCCATAGGTCCCTGCTATCATAGTACCTTCCTGCCAGGAGAGGATCCACACACACATACCTATATACCCATCAGCCGCATAAGTCTAAAAACACAAGGGGCCACTCACACATGTGGAAATCAGCCTAGACAGGCAATGAGATCTGTTTCCTAGAGAGCGAGGTGTGCTTTGCATCTCTGCAGTGGGGGCTTCTCATCAACCCAGCTGATGACCCGGAAGGCCAGGGAACAGGCCTATGTGGTCCTCGGGACTCCTCCCACAGTTCCAACATACAAAGCAGTACCCTAGGAGGCAGCTAAAGCCCCTGTGCTTCTATTGTCCCACTCTATCCACTCGAAACCCCTCTCAGGTGAGCCACTGTGACCTGGAACTGCCTCTCAGCTAAGAGCCAGCTAGCATCCCCAAGTCCCCCTCTCCTACCGAAGAGCTTCTGCAGGACTTGGCCGTCATAGAGATCTTCAGCCAGGTCCTTCACAATGATTCTTTCTCCCACCAACACATCGTTGATCCAGTCGATGAGCACCTACAGACAGATTGCGAGAGTCAGAGAAGAGTGGCTGCCTGTGTGTTTGGAAACCAGCTTTCTCATGCTGGACAATTCTACATGAACTTCATTCTTAATTAAGATCAGTAGAGTCATGGGACCAGTGTGCAAATATAGGTGTGAGCCCCAGTACACCTGTGCGTTTGCAGAGTGTGCTGGCTAGTTTGTTGTCAACTTGACACAAACGAGTCTTCTGAGAGAGGGACCTCAAATGAGAAAATACCTCTGGTGATCTGACTGTATCAAGTCTGTAGGACATTTTCTTTTCTTTTGGTTTTTTGAAACAGGGTTTCTCTGTATTGCTTTGGAGCCTGTCCTGGAACTCGCTCTGTAGACCAGGCTGGCCTCGAACTCACCTGCCTCTGACACCCAAGTGCTGGGACTAAAGGCATGCGCCACCAATGCCCAGCTGGACATTTTCTTAATTAGTGATTAAACTGGGAAGGGACCAGTTCATTGTGGGTAGTGCCACTCCTGGCCTGGTGGTCCTGGATGCTGTAAGAAAGCAACCTGAGGCCAGGCGTTGGTGGCCCACGCCTTTAGTCCCAGGACTTGAGAGGCAGAGGCAAGTGGATCTCTGTGAGTTCAAGGCCAGCCTGGCCTACAGAGTGAGTTCCAGGACAGGCTTCAAAGCAATACAGAGAAACCCTGCCTCAAAACAAACAAACAAACAAACAAACAAAAAAAAGAAAGAAAGAAAAGAAAAGAAAAAGAGGAAGAAAGAAAGCAGGCTGAGCAAGCCTTGAGCAATAAGCCAGTAAGCAGTGTTCCCCGTGGCCTCTGCATCTATTCTTGCCTCTGGTTTCCTGCCTTGTTTGAGTTCCTGTCCTGACTTCCCTTAGTGATGAACAACAAAAATCTAAGCTGAATAAACCCTTCTCTCCAAGTTGTTTATCATCATGGTGTTTTATGACAGCGAATGAAACCCTAACTATGACACTGAGGTTAGTCTTGCTAGTGGGGCAGTTGCAGTGAGTCTGCTGACCATCTCTGGCTCTGCCAGGCATTCCCCTAATGGTATGGGCTTCATACCAGGCAAGGGTATGGAGGCTGGAGTCATGCAAATGGATCAAAACCCCCACTCCACCTACTAACCTGTGTGTGCACCATTGCCATCTGCAGCTTTACACACATGTGTCTGCATCTCTCTGGTGTCCATGATGTTCATGTCTCTGCCCCTCTGTGAACTGTGGTTTACTCACAGCTCTATGCAGGTGCACACTCTTGTCATCTCTGAACTTGAGCATGCCCATCTTTGTCATGTGTGAGTCTGAGACAAGCTAGTTACTTCTGCTGAGCCTCTGGTCCTGATCTCTAACACTGTGGACCAAAGTACTCCCTGTGTTAGGCAATAGAAAAGAATTACCTATGACAATGGCCAAATAGTCCATGGAAGGAGTTACTGTCAGCTGGTCATGTCAGGAAGCAGAGAGAGACGGGTGCTGGTACTCAGCTCACTTTTGTCTCCTTTTCATTCTGTCTGGGACCCCAGCCCATGGAATGGTGCTCCCCACACTAAGAGTGGGTTTTCCTACATCAGTTTAATATAGATGACTGCTCACAAGCATGCTCAGAGGTTTGCTTCCATAGTCATTCTAAATCTCATCAGTTGACAGTCAAGAGTAACCATCACAAGGTCCCACCTAGGTGGGGTGCACAGAGGAGTAAGCAGCAATGAATGCTTCCCTTGGTTTGGAGGAGCCTCTGAAAAGAAGATGACAGGGCTGAAGACTAGGATTTCAAGGTGACCATTGTAGCCTAGATCTGGAAAATCAAAGCTCTCCCTTGAGTGAGGTTATGACCTGCTGGGCAGGGATCTGCTTTGCTCATACCCAGCAATGCACACCTCCACTCTTTCTCTTGGGCAAGCCAGGTCCTTGGTCTAGGAGATCATTGTTTGGAGCCCAAACAGCAGAGCTTTATCTGATTGTTTCCTCTTGGATCATTAGAGCACTGCCCAACCCAGCACAGAAGTATACAATGCCAAGACTAGCTGTTAGCTGTGCTGGTTTGAATGGGAATAGATCCCATAGGTTTGTATATTTGAATACCTGGTCCCTATTTGATGGAACTGTTTGGGAAGGATTAAGATCTATGGCCTTGTTGGAGGAGTCACTGGGGTTCCCCCACCGCCTTATGCTTATGGATCAGATATAAGCTCTTAGCTACTGCTCCAGCATTATGCCTACTTGCCTGCCTGCTGCCATGCTCCCTGCCATGATGGTCATGAACTCTAACCCTCTGCAACTATGAGCCCCACACTAAAAGCCTTCTTTTTAAAATTGCCTTAATCATGGTGTTTTGTCATGGCAATAGAAAATTAACTAAAATACCAGCACAGAGTTAACCCTCTCCAGTATTGGCCCTCCTAGGTACACCCCAGAGAGGTACAAGGGCCTCAACTGCAGCTGTCCCACTTTTTCAATGCATTGCAAAGGGAGGGCTCAGGTTCCTCCTGGGCCAGGGGAGCCATCAAGAGAGGGCCAGTCTGTGGGGCTTGTACTGAGGCCCAGAGAATGAAGGGTAGTATGATCCCAAGCCCAGGCCACTGAAGCGGCATTTAATCAGCTCCTCCAAAAAGACTGCCTTCAATCCTGTAGTGTTTCACAACAGTTCATCTCTCACATGGCTTTGTTCCGATGTGTTAGGGGCAACTATGGGGACATTATTCTGATTCTACTTTTGAATAGCGTGACTACTGGTGGTGGTGGTGGTGGTGGTGGTGATGGTGGTGTGTGTGCGTGCGTGTATGTGATGTATCCATGGGAGCACACTTGCATGTGGGCAGGAGTGTTCATATGTAGAGACCAGAGGTTGACTGTGGTCATCTCCATCCATTATTCTTTACCTCATATTTCTGAGACAGGGTTTCTTCACTGAACTTGAAGTTCACTATTTGTTGAGAGACTCCGTGCCCCTCTTCTCTCAGTGAAAGGCTTCAAGTGCATGCCAGTACACCTGGTTTCCATCCTGTGGCTTCTAGGATCCAGAATGCTTGCATATCAAGCACTTTACCCACTAAGCCATCTTCCAGAGCCCCATCTGCCTGCTTTTATAGTTTTCTTTTTCTCACCTCCTGCTTTTTCTCCAGTCAATGCATATGAAATACCTGGTATTCATAGCATACTATGCTACACTGGGGGATATAATGGTTCTAAAGAAAGGGAAGTCTCTAATCCCAAGAGGTTCACTGGAAGGGAGGCTAGGAGAGAGAGGAGGGGAAAGGATGGAGAAGAGAAGAGAGAGAGGGAGGAAGAGAGAGAGAGAGAGAGAGAGAGAGAGAGAGAGAGAGAGAGAGAGAGAGAGAGAGAAAGTAAGCACCTACTCCAGGAGCTGGAGCACATGGAGATGACACTAACACACTAAAGCCGAGGGGGTCAATGCTACACAGAGAGGCTGAGTCATAGCGATGAGCATCAGAGAGGACTTCTTGGAGGAAGTGGTGTGCAGGACGCCAGAGGCAATCTAAGTAGAGGGAGCTGCTTAAATAGAGGCCTGGGGACAGGGAGTGCTGCAGCCAGCATTCAGCTGTCCCTGTGTTGCTAGGTAGATTATGTGAGGCTGAAGAGAGCCAGAAAGACTCAATTATCAAATGACCCTGAACTTGATAGAAAACTACAGATAGGCTTTGAGCAGGAAAACACTATAAGTGAACTTGTGAACAAAGGAGAGGGACATAGGTCAGGGGACAAGAAGAGACAAGTGAATGGGAAAAGAGTTGCTGCATGATGGCCAATGTCCCACATACAACCTTTTGTTCATACAACATTCCTTCCCCAACCATTTTTTTCTTCTTCTTTTCTGTCTTTCTTTTTCTGAGAAACAGTTTCAAGTACTCCAGGCTGGCCTCAAACTCTATATTGCTCAGGATAACCTTGGATTTCTGATCCTTCTGCCTCCACTTCTTCTCAAATGCTGGGATTACAGTCATGTATCACTATGCAGCCAATGCTCTGCTGGGGATTGAAACCAGAGCTGTGTGCATGCTAGGAGAGTATTCTACCAACTGATCCACACTCTCAGCCCCCAATTCCATCTCTCTAAACCAGATAGACCATAAACGAATCACTTGGCTTCCTAAGACTTAGTTCCCTCATCTGGAAAGTGGGCTGTTCCTAACTGACTTTCTAAGTTCCTTTTGAGGGACTTTGATATGACTATGCCCTCCTTGTAATGTCCCCTGTATGGTGTCTTCACAGAATAGGCAGTGTATAGACACCTGCCAAGGCCAGGAGGGGGCTGAGGAGAATTCTAGAACCTCTCCTCATCTCTTCTTACCTTCATCAGCTCTTGAAGTTTGGGATCACTGCGTGAGTTTGGATCCACCATCGTCCGCACCTCATTCTCCTCTGTAAAAGGAAATGGCCTTTGTATTGACTGCTGCCTACTGCAAAGAGAAGCCTCTCTGATTGAGGCTGAGATTAGCCAGAGTGCTGGGAATAGGTATGTATGAGCATTCAGCCCTAAGAGAGGAAGAGGAGACAGCAGGAATGTAAGAGCCAGAAAGGAGCGCTGAGACACGCTGTCTTCTGGGCATGACATGATCACTACACTCATGATCTCACAGCAGCTGTGGTTACCTGAACCACAAGACCAAGCCAGACAGAATGCCATCCTGGATGGAGGAGGGGCTCTAGAGGCTCCACCCCTTGCTGAGGAGGGGTTAGGGGCAGTTGGTGGTCACTGAGGGAGCTGAACGATTCTTTCTTTGGCTGTGTGTCCACTTGTGGGTTGCAAATGTTCCAGTGGATAGCTCCCCAGCTGTGCACATATAGGCAGCATTAGTTGGCTTTAGTTGGTCATTAAAAAGAAGGGGAGGAAGAAGAGATGAAGTTGGGAGGGGGAACATGTTAATAAATTTAGAAGTTGAAGAGAAAACAGAAGTGGACACAATCATATTTCATTACATGCATGCATGGAATTCTCAAAGATTAAATTCTTAAAATTAAAAAAAAAAAAAAGCCCTAAAACTAAAACAAGAGCTAGAAAAGGAGAAGGAGTTTGGTGAGAGTGCCTAAGCTATGGGCGCTAAACCAGTCTAGATACAAGGACAGTTACCCAGCATGGTGTCCTCGGGGTCCAGCTCGAAGGAGATGGGGCTCAGGGGCAGGTTGATGGCGTTCATTCCTTCCTCCTGGAACTCAGACACTGAAAGACAAGGAAGAGCCTGGTCACACGTCAGGGAAGGATGACAGGGATGACAGGGTAGGGGGAGGACTCTCCACAACATCCCTGATCAATACTGATGTTGAGAGAATGTTTCTCCTCTCCCAGACAGTTAGCTCATAGTTGCTCCACAGCTGCTCTTTCCTAAGGTGACATAATTGTCCCTTTAATCTCAATTTTCTGCCTGCCTCCTTCTCACTTTCTTGAGAAAAGGGGAGTCATAAATGCAGAGATCCATCTTCTCCCAGAGAAGATCCTGGGGCAAACAGGAGCAGGGTGCTCTCTAAGGCTTGCCTTTGGCCTCTGCCTATCCTTCCTCCAGGGTTGGTGCACTGTCCCTGCCTCCTCACTGTGGACAGGATGAAGAGGGCCACAGTTTCAGGCTGTGATCTCCCGAGCCTTTTCCACATGCAGTTCAACCCTCCTCTGCCTTCCTGAGACATTCTTCCATGATCTGCCTGCCCTCTACCCTGCTTCTCACTCCAGCTGCTGTGGACTCTAGGCTCCGGTTTGGCTTCCTCAGCTCTCATGAACTGTGGGACCATGTCCAGGCAGTATCACTTTATAGTCCTGCATCGTTAGCTGCAAAAGAACTTTCAATGGGGGACCACTAGCAAACAGTTTTCTATTACATTTAATTTAATTTATTTTGGTGTGTGCATGTGTAATATGGAGGACAACTTTTGGGAGTAGATTCTCTTCTTCTATCATATGATTGAACTCAGATAATCAGTCATGGCAGCATGCACCATTACCCACTGAGCCATCTTGTCAACCTGACTACTAATTTTTTAATTTTTTAAGTACTGTAAATCCACAGCCCAATTTAGCAAAACAAACAAACAACAACCACAACTAAAAAAAAAAAAAACAAAACAAAACATGAGAGCGGGTTGGTGCTCCTTCAAGTACACAACCCCATGAACCTTGGGGGAAAAGATTCCTGCCCCCAAAGTCAGTTGTGCACCACACACTTGGTGTTGACCTTGGCTTTCTCCTCCTAAAAGCTGGAACTCACATCCTCTCACTTTTCACTAATTAAGCACAGAAGGGTTATTTTCTCTGAAGGTGTTGGTCATTGGGAGGTTTGAAGGTACTAATACAACAGCAGCAATCAACCTTAATGAAAGCAACATCATTCCATTTTATTTATAGACTCAGACCTCCCTGACTGCAGCCTAGACTTGGGAGGCAGCTACTTATCCGTCTATAGCTGGATAGGGAATGCATCAGCTGCACCAACACAGAGAAACAGGCCAGTGGACTCTTGTATGTAATATATGTATGTTGTACATGTATGCATGTATGTGGGTATGCATGACCTGCATACAGGGCCCAGAAGAGGACACTGGATGTCTTCCTCTATTATTCTCTGCCTTATTCCTTTGAAACAGGGTCTCTTACTGAGCCTGACATTTCCACCCTCAGTGCTAGGGTTATGGGTAGATAGTTATGCTCAACTTTTATGTGGGTACCAGGGATTCAAACTCAGATACACGTGCTTGTGGAATAAGTGCTCTCACCCACTGAGCCATCTCCACTGCCCTGTGAGCAGCAGGCTTTTAACATTCGTTGGGACATTACCCAGCTCCTGTCTCCATATTTATTGACCTGCCCTTCTGTATAACCCTTGATAAAGCATAGCAGAAAAATACAGGTGACCTCAAAGCTCCAATGAGCACATATAGGGCTGCATTCATTTTCCAGCTAACCACACTTCCTTCTTAGGATTTACATATGCTTTGCTCTTTTCCAGTCCGTTTCTTTCTTTTTTGAGACAGAGTCTCTCTCTATAGTGCTCTGGCTGGCCTGGAACTCACTATGTTGACCATGTTGGTCATGAACTCACAGAGACCCACCTGCTTCTGACTCCTGAGTGCTACTACACCTGTCAAAAGCACAGCTTTTATTACTCACCACACCCTCCAGGGGGTTACCAGGCAGTGGAAATAGCCATGCTTACATACCGGTGTGAGAGTAGTCCAGGCAGCCCTGCTGCTTCCTGGAATACTGGGGCTCCTGACTGCCTCTGACTCTTCTACTTGTCTCTGCCTAGGTCTGTGGGGCTTTACACAATCTTTTATATCTCAGTAAATTAAGCACTCATGCCTTTAGCTTCACCAAACACATTTTAAGTACTCAAAGGTCCTTGGTTCTGTGGTCCCCATAACATGGTGATGCAACATTTCTCACATAGGAAGTCTAATTGTCTGATGTGCTCTTAGGAGATCCAGTTGGCCCACACACTGAGGACATTCACCTGAGAAGTTCAGCCAGGCCTGATGAATGAGTCTCTGCTTACTCTACCATTTGTAAATCTACTGAGATCTCAAGTTTAGATATCCAACACAGAACTTAAGATTCAGCACCCTCATGCCTACCACAACTATGCAAAAATAGGTCCACTCTCTCCCTATCCTTCTCCTCTGTAGGAGGCACCACTGTTTACACTAGGGTTGTCCCACCTGCTCCTCAAGGCTGTTCACAGGCTACACATGACCTAGGTATCTATGGATATGGCCCGACACAGAACTGTAAACATACTTAAATCATGAAGAGGTAGGGGTGTGTGTGTGTGTGTGTGTGTGTGTGTGTGTGCGTGTGTATGTATCTGTATGTATGTATATATGTATATGTACATATGGATACAAATATGTGTGTGGGTCCTTGGTTGTACGGTGCTTGAGCATTTACTTAGAAGATGAATGTTTTGTAACAAATGTAAATATTCTTTTGAAGCACCCTCATTTACCTGATAGTTAAGTTGAAATCTGGAGAGCCTCCACTTGGGCTCTTTCCCCTCACCCTTTGTATCAAACATACTGACTAGCTAGTTCTCTAGGCCCCTCCAACAAGTCAGGAGCCCAGTCCAGCCCCTCTTCACCAACACTTTCCACCCCCAGTCCTGGCTCAAGTGACCATTCTCCTCCATCTGCCCATCAGATCCACCTCCTCCCCATCTTTGCGGAGCTGCAAAGGCGATTCTGAGACCAGACCAGCTGCCTGGAAGGAGCAGAAACAGCAGGAGGTTTAGATCAACTGAGGCACCTGGAATGGACACTTTATAACCTGTTGCGTTGCCTGCACGCTGTGCAGTGGGCTCCAGGTTCCCAGCTTTGTAAACTCGCCACCCTTGCTGGGGTGGGCTTTGGTGACACAGTTTTCTTTAAGTCACTTCTGCCCCTGCAAGTAAGTCCTCACCCATTTTCCTGTAGTAACGCCAATAAAATTCATGGCTCACCAAATTGTTCTCTGATGGTATCTCTACTTTGATTTGCCATGGGTTCCTCATCTGGAGTGAGTAGATACGTGTATTGTGTCTCCACAGGAAAAATTTTGTCACAACAATAGCCAAAGATGACCTTGAACTTCTGAAGCCCTGGCCTCTACCTCTCGGGTGCTAGGACCACAAGCATGTATTATCAGCTCCCTGGTATGTGGTGCTTGGGACTGAACACAGAGCTTTCTGCATGCTAGGGAGCAGTCTACCAGTGCAGCTTCTCTCCCACCTTTCACTGCTGGAGTAAGCTTTGTCTTTGTTGACCAGATTCCCAAATAGGCCAGACAGAAGAGTGCTTGGCAGCCAGACTGCTTAGATTCAAACCCGGGCTCTACCACTTTCTGGCTGTTTGACTTGGACAAGTCCACTAGTTTCCTGGGCCTCGGTTTCATCATCTACAGGATGGGAGTGATGATAATATTTCCAATTCTAGTCTGTTGGAAAGGTACAATGAATTTCTGGTCCCTGAGGAGAGCCATAGAAACGCAGGGCACTACTGTTATGATAACGCTTGAAGGGGACCTTGGCAGATTCCATGGCAGGCAAGGGTGACCAAGGCAGAGGGACAAACATGCCAGGAAGACAGAGCTTAAGTGAGAAGTTTTATTAGAAAGGGGAGGGAGAGGGAAGGAAAGAGAAAAGAGGTGAAGAGACACAGAGACACAGAGAGGACAGAAGAGAAGAGGGAGACAGGAAAAGTCCTGGAAAGAGAGAAGGAAAGAGACAGGGAAAGAGAGAGCGGAAAGAGTGTAGTGGATGTGGATCTTTCTTTTAAAGTGGTCCTTTGCACCTGGGCTGACCAGGGTACTGCCTGAGTGCATTTTGCCAGGTGACAGGGGCAGGCCAGCATAATTCCTGAATCCTTATAACTACTGCTACTTAAAAATGACATCTCTGATACTCTCTGTACCCTGGTAAGTATTTATTGAGTAAGTAACCCAGACTATAAAGGTCACACTTCAGGGCACAGGCTAGATACAGAGTCAGAATTTACCCAAGGAGTTTAAAAAAAAGAAAAGAAGGAAGAAAGAAAGAAAGAAAGAAAGAAAGGAAGGAAGAAAGAAAGAAAGAAAAAGAAAGAAAGGCTTTCAAAGTATTGTAGGGGGTGGGGAGTGGGGAGAGTGGGGTGTTGGGCTAGGAATCATTTACATTTAGTCTGAACATGAGCCTGACGCTCTGTGTGCATGCATGTGTGTTATGTGTGTTTCTGAGATAAAATTTGCACCTTGTGGTTGTTTTGTTCTTTTGAGACAGGGTCTTGCAGGTAGCCCAGGCTGCCCTAGATTCACTATGTTGCACATCCTGGCCTCAAACTTGCATCAATCCCTCTGCGGCCAGTCTGCATTTTGTGAAGGAAGAAAACCCACATCTGTCCCAAATGTAGCTGGAGCCAGAGTATAATTACAGCGGTCTCTAAATACCTCCTAACTGGGAAGATGATATTCCCAGCCAGGACTCCTAAAGGTGGGTCTGAATGAGGTCCCCCATTGTGGAGCGTTGTTTAGAATGTTTTCAGATGAACACAGCTACGGTCAGAACTCCGCCCTCTGGCCTGCCTCTTTAATTCACTCACAGAGACATAACAAGCCCCAGAAGAAAGGCTCAGATATGCTTGCAATTGGAAATGGGTGTTTGGAAGAAACCTTTGGGCAGGAACCCCATTCCCGTTCCATTAACCGCTGACTCAGAGCCAGTTGTTTGT